TCTAGAAGTGGTTTGAGAGTGCTGAGCTGAACTGATTATGGATCAGATAGCCTAGATAAGTCTCCTTTCCTCACGTGACTTTCCTAGACATTGCTTCAGATAACACACATGTTATCAGGTAACTCTCAGGGCTTCAGTAACAAGTTGGTTCTGAATATAAGAATTAAATATACTTCTATGTAATAAAATGAGGTTTGAAGGAAATAAAGAAGGAATGCATGACTCATAGGCATATTGAAGACAAAGAAAAAATATCCAGTAGAATACCAGCTAAATCAGTCTCATAAAGTCTACATATCTACTCCATCTCTTATATACACAAACTAACCTATATGAATAAATCTGGAAAAAGTAAGCATGTTTAGCAGATTTGAAAATAACTTTTTAAGAAATTCCAGATCAAAATGATTTCTGTAAGTGAATTTACTGCATGAAAAGAAACCTTCAACACAGGGGCCAGCTTGGGGGCATAGTGGTTAAGTTCGTGTGCTTGCTTTGGTGGCCTGGGGTTTGCGGGCCTGGATCCCAGGCATGGACCTACATACTGCTCATCAATCCATGCTGTGGCAGCATCGCAAAAACAAAACAGAGGGGGACTGGCACAGATGTTAGCTCAGGGACAATCTTCCTCAAGCAAAATGAGGAGGATGGGCAACAAATGTTAGCCCAGGGCCAACCTTCCTCACCAAAAAACCCCAAAAACAAAACAATAAACACTTCAACACATATACACACAGACACTAAAGTACAAGTAAACGAATAAAAGGTAATAATACCAGTTCGACAACTCAATGATTTCTTCAGAACAATTATTTTGAAGATAGGATTGCTATAGAAATAAGAAAGATATCTAGAACTTAAGGGAAAAAATGTGTTCTACATTTCCTCTCCCAAGAGAGTCTAGTAATTAAAAGGCAGTCAGTATGTCCATTTTGGTGGAATAAATAAATGAGACAAAGTTGAAATAATCAACAGGATCTAAACATATTACCAGTCATCAAAAATCAAAATAGAATTGTTTCCTGCTCAGAGAAAAGCCTACAAGTGTAAATGTGTATGTGTGTGCGTGTGTGTATATGTATATAGATAGACAAGGAAAAGAGCTAGAGAGAGGGTGCTATTGAATCAACAGGGTCAAATTTGAATATTAGAAATAAAGCAAATAATGGTAGCATAAAATTATAAATCAGCAGAGGCAATGTGAAGTTGAAGCACGGAAATAAATAAAAAGTGTTTGTGAATCATTAATTCGAATCATAACCAGTTGACATGGAAAGCCACAGACACTGATGATGGAAAAATATTACTAAAATTCAACTTACTATAAAGCATGCCATGATAACCGAACTGGATCTTTGGAATCAAAAGGAAATATTCCAGGACTAAGAAAAAATGACTTTCACAAAAGCTTTCTGAAAAAGGATGGTAATTTCACGAAAGGTAAAGTACAGATACTCACATGTATTGCTCTGTATGAACTGAACATGTCCCTCCCCCGGAAACAGTTTTTATAATAGGCTTAGGGGAAAAAAGCCACTTAAGACTTGTGCAGAGACACCAGCAATTGGGAAGCAGGAAATAAATCTCACCTGATTACTCGTAGGGTCACATTTGCCAAAACCAGTAGCTGAATCTTCAGCAATTAAGAGTGGCTCGCTTTTCTCACAGCTCTCCTGGCTGATGAGCGTGTCCGCGTAGTTGGGCTGGGGGAAGATCAGGTGACTCTTCCGCGAGTCCGCAGTGAGGGAGACCTCGTGGGAATAGGTCTGCAGGAAAGCGCGCACCCCATCCACGCCCACGAAGTGCGAGGCGGGAACGCCCACCAACCCGCCTCCTGAAGCCTGGAGCAGGCGAGACGTGTGCCAGCGCCGCAGTCTGAGCGCCAGCAGCACAATGACAAAGGCGAGGAAGACGCAGGAGACAGCGGCTACTGCCACCACCAGGTAGAGTGTGAGGCTAGATTCATCAGGATTGGCGGGAGACTCGAGGCTGTCCAGGTCAGCCAGGATGTCTGGGATGCTGTCAGCCACAGCTACCGTAAGTGTGACAGTGGCTGAGAGTGGAGGCTGGCCGTGGTCCTGGACGGCCACCACCAAGCTCTGCTTGAGTGCATCTCTGTCCAGAAGGGCCCTTGCCGTGCGCACCTCGCCCGTGTGCAGCCCCACGGTGAAAAGCCCTGGCTCACTGGCCTTGAGCAGGAGGTAGGACAGCCAGGCATTCTGGCCAGAATCTTGGTCCACTGCCACCACTTTGGTCACCAGGTAGCCGGGCTCTGCAGAACGGGGTGCCAGCTCCACGCCTGTGGAGCCATCGGTGGGGAGGGTGGGGTACAGGATCTCTGGTGCATTGTCATTCTGGTCTAGCACAAATATGCTCAGTGACACGTTGCTACTGAGTGGTGGGTTCCCGCTGTCCAGTGCTGTCACCCACAGCTTCAGGTCACGGAACTGTTCATAGTCAAAGGAGCTCAGTGCATACAGGACTCCGGTGTCAGAGTTGATGGAGACATAGGAAGATAGAGGTGCTCCCTGGAGGGTATCCTCAACCAGAGAGTAAGTGATCTGGGCGTTCTCTCTACTGTCCCGGTCCACAGCAGTCACTGAGAAGAAGGAGGCTCCTCTGGGGTTGTTTTCAGGAACGTAGGCAGAGTAAGAGGAGTAAGCAAAAGTGGGCGGGTTATCATTGTCATCCGCTACATTCAGTGAAATGTGAGTTTCTGTAGACAAGGGCGGACTTCCATGATCTGTGGCTGTCAACGTTATATTGTAGCTCTGGACCTGCTCCCTGTCCAGCTCGCTGTTTGTTATCAACTTGTAATAATTTTCATAGGTCTTTTCTAATTTAAAAGGCAGATTGTTAGGAATGAAACAGGAGACTTGACCATTTTCTCCGGAGTCTTGATCTTGCACATTTAGAAGAGAAATTACTGTACCTGGAGGAGAATTCTCCAGCACTGAATTAGTAGAAGATGTGATAGTTATTTCTGGAGCATTATCGTTAACGTCCACAATTGTGATCAACATCTTAGCACTGGTGGAGAGACCTCCACCATCTTGGCCTTGAATTTCCATCTCATAGAACCTATATTTCTCAAAATCCAGAGACCCCTGTATTAAGACTTCTCCAGTTCGAGGATCCAACTGGAAAATTTCAGAAGCTTTGCTTTCCATATTCCGGAATGAATACACCACTTCCCCGTTGATTCCTTCATCTGGATCAGTTGCGTTTACCATGAGCACCCGAGTTCCAGAGCTGAGGTTCTCGGGAACACTCACTCGATAAACAGACTGTGTAAACTTTGGGATATGGTCATTTACATCGAGGACCACCACACGAATGGGAACAGCGCCCTGGCGAATGGGATCTCCTCCATCTAAGGCTGTGAGGAGGAGGTGATGAGCAGCCTGTTTCTCCCGGTCCAGGCTCCCCTCCAGCACTAGCTCGGGATTCTTGGCCCCATCCGTTCCGCCTCGCACTTGCAAGGAAAAGTAACTATTAGAGTTGAGCTGGTAGCGCTGGAGGGAGTTTACTCCCACATCCGGATCCCTAGCGTTAGGAAGGGGAAATCGTGATCCTGGAGTTGCGTGCTCACTGACTTTTATCTCTACTTCCTCCTCCCGGAAGCTGGGGGCGTTATCATTAATATCCATTATTTCCACCTCCACTCCGTAAATCCTCAGAGTATCTTCCACAAGTATCTCCATATTTAATAAGCAGGAGGATAGTGTCTCACAGAGCTCCTCTCGGTCTATCCTACCCGCAGTGATCAAGCTGCCACTTCGCGGACTCAGAGCGAAAAGCTGCGTCTTTCCTCTGGAGACAATGCGGACTCGGCGTTCCGTCAGCTCCCAGGGCTCCAGCCCCAGATCCTTGGAAATATTGCCCACGAAGAAGCCTTTGTCTGTCTCTTCGGGCACCGAATATCGGATCTTCCTGGCCCCAGACTCCCGCAGCGTCCCCAGAAAAATGTACACTAGGACCAGCCCCCGGCGGTCCAGGCGCAGTAGCCGATTCGCCATGGCAGTGGCTGAGCCTATATTCTGTGATTTCTTGAGCCGTTTTGTTCTTAATCAGCTTGTGTATCTACGAAGTACGGGGCCGACTGCGTCCAAAATATATTACAGAGCGAAGGGAAGTACTTTAAGTTTCCAGCATCAGGAGGATCTGTGAGTATCCATCTCACTCTTTGTGTTGTTGAGGCGGGGGAGGGAGGGACTCTGTAGCTCGCAGCTTCCCATTCCCTGATTGGTGAACAGCGGCGCCTGGAGTCCAATCTTATTATTGCACCGAGTAAGAAAAATCCAACTAATGTGCTGATTTTAGAAATTATTACACTCACCTCTTCAAGAATGGTGTAATACACCTTTACGTATTGGTAAAGCTTAAAATTGCATATAATAAAGAGTTATACGATGCTATGTTAAAGGTTCACCAAGAGCACTTATGAAAGTAATTATTAAAAGAGCTTGCTTAATTTTTTAAAAAGCTTTCACATACTACTGGCACTAAAAACTTACAGGTTAGATTTGGTTCCTATTGATTTTTACCGACTGAGGGGAACAGCATTTGTGGATAGGGAACTAGCATGGTCCCAACAAAATAATCAGATAGGATGCATGACTATAATTCTTACCAATGTTTCTTTATTGAGTAAAATAAAGATGAAATGTTTGAGAAAATTTGGATGGCATTAGGTTTGTCATTTAAAACCCCACGATATGAAAATCTAACTGTATTCCATATCCTTAATTAGAAGGCATTCTATTTCATGAAAATTTCACCTGAGATTTCTCTATGTATTTTAGGTTCAAATACATTTGAATAGTAGGAGTGCAGCATTGTGAACTTTACTCTTAGTGATACCCATAGATTTGACCTAGATATATTTTTAGGAACTTTATCAAGAGATTGAATCTAGATATTTTAGATTCTAGAGATAACCTCTATATTGAGATGTATTGGCATATTGGAATATAAAAAACATTATTTTAGATACTTACTTGTTTAAAAGTCTTCTTATCTGCTTCGATACTTGGAGTTAAAATGCTAGCCAACAGCACTGAAGAGCTATCTTTGTTGAGAATATCTTGTGTGGCTGGACAATGATCGACAGATGTGAGAAAATTAAATTCTGGGTTAGTCTGATCCCCAGGCACACACAAGTTATAGGCATAGGGCAACGTTCCCTCACTGTAGTTGGGGGGAATCTCGGGTCCAGATTTGGAGCAGAGAACAGACCCAAAGCAGCCCCCAGTGGCGGGGCTGGAGGAGCGTCGCAGGCGCAGGGCAATGGCCAGAATCACCGCGAGCAGGAAGAGCACAGAGATCAAGGCCAAGGCCACCACCAGGTAAAACTGCAGCTCAGCCTGGGGCTCAGAGGGTGCAGGATGGTCGCCGAGGTCCGGCAGTGCCTCTTGTAGGCTGTCTGCGAAGACCAGGAGCAGCGTGGCGGTGGCCGAGAGGGGCGGCTGTCCCCCGTCCCGCACGGCGACCAGCAGGCGCTGGCGGGCCGCGTCCCTGTCGCCCAAAGCACGCGCCGTGCGCACCTCGCCCGTGTGCAGCCCCAGGGTGAAGAGTCCGGGGCTCGCTGGCCCTGCAGCACGTGGTAGGACAGCCAGGCTTTGTGTCCCGAGTCGGCGTCCACCGCCACCACCTTGGTGACCAGGTAGCCGGGCTGCGCGGCGCGCGGCACCGTGTCGAAGAGCGCCGAGCCGTCGGGCCCCAGCGCCGGGTACAGCACCCTTGGCGCGTTGTCGTTGCGGTCGCCCACCAGCACGCGCAGGCTCGCGTTGGCGCTGAGCGCCGGCGAGCCCTGGTCGCGGGCCTGCAGCGTCAGCTCGAAGGCGCGCAGCTGCTCGTGGTCGAAGGAGCGCTGCGCGAACACCACCCCGCTCTGCGCGCTCACCGACACGTAGGACGACAGCGCCCGCGGCTCCAGGTCGCTGGCCACGATGGAGTAGGAGACGCGGCCGTTGGGTCCCAGGTCGGGATCTGAGGCGCTGACTTGGGCGATGGAGGCGCCGGGCGGGTTGTTTTCTGGCACGTGGACCAAGTAGGCTGACTGTCGGAAAACCGGCGCGTTGTCGTTGACGTCGGTGACGTGCAGGGTGATGGTAGTGCTGGAGGAGAGGGGCGGCTTGCCCCTGTCGGTGGCTGTGATTGTCACATTATACTCTGGGGTCTGCTCCCTGTCCAGGGCCCCATCTGTTACAAGCTTGTAGTAATTATTAGAAGAAGAATGAATCTTAAATGGAACATCTCTACTTAAATTGCATGTGACTTCTCCATTTTCCCTGGAATCCCGGTCCCGTGTTTTGAAGAGAGCCACAACCATTCCGGGACGAGAATCCTCCAAAATCTGATCAGAGAGGGAAGTGATGATTATTTCTGGGAGGTTGTCATTTTCGTCTAGAACTTCTATAATTACTTTACACTGTGTAGAGAGGGATCCTCGGTCCTTTGCTTCTACACCCATGGTATATCTTTCTACTTCTTCAAAATCCAAGGGTTGGTGAGTTATAATGTTTCCTGTAGCGGGATCCAGAGAGAACACGTGCTGGGCGTTATCAGTCACACCAAGGAATGAGTAGGTGATCTCCGCGTTGAAGCCTTCGTCTTGGTCTGTGGCACTCACCTTCAACACCGAGCTGCCTGGGGGCACGTCTTCCGGAAGGCTGACCCTGTACACGTCTTGGCTGAACACTGGGGGGTTATCGTTGGCATCCACCACCAGGATTCGGATTTGAGTGGTGCCGCTTCGCGGCGGTTCCCCGCTGTCTAAGGCTGTCAGCACCAAGTGATGAGTGCTCTGCGTTTCTCGGTCCAGGGTCTTCTTCAATACCAGTTCTGGATATTTGCCACCATCGGGATTGTCTTTCACCACCAACGAGAAATACTCGTTAGGACTTAGTTGGTACTTGCTCAGTGAATTCATACTAATATCGGGATCTTTTGCACACTCAAGAATTGTTCCCATCCCCGGGCTGACAGACTCACTGATTTCTAAGTTTATTTCATCTTTATGGAATTGAGGGGCGTGGTCATTAATATCCTCAACAACCACAACGATATGAAAGATATTTAAAGGATTTTCCACCACAGCTTCCAACTGCAATTCACATCTTCTTCTCTCTTTGCATATCTGCTCACGGTCTATTCGGTCCTTCACAAGTAGCTCCCCGCTCTCCGGGTCTACGCTGAAAAGCAGCTTCTCTGCGCTAACTCGCAGCTTCCGAGCCGACACATCCAGGACACTGAGTCCTAGATCCTTGGCGAGGTTCCCGACCACCGAGCCCTTGGCCAGCTCCTCAGGAATCGAGTAGCGGATCGGTTCGGAGAGCGCGGGGTAGAACAAAGGCAGCAGGAAGGGAAACAGTACCTTCCGCGGGCCGGCCGGGCGCCTCCGCGCGCAGCTCCCTCCCATTGCGCGCTCCAGTTCTCGCTGGGTCCCAGTCTTTCCAGTTGGAGAAAGTGCACACTATTGCACTGGAAGCATTCGGCCCAGGACAGGCGGAGCTCCCAGTCTTGGGGCTGGGAATCTGTGTGTGCTGGGGAGAGTCTGGGGCGCCAGGAGCCTCAGTGTGTAAGCGGGTTTCCTTCTCTGTGTTGGCTGCGCAGGAAATCCCAGGCTAGAGGCTCAGCAATCCTGGGCGTCAGCGCTTGCCCTGCACTGGCCGACAGCGGCGCCCAGAGGCCCCGTGTGGAACCGCAACCTGGTTTTTCTATTTCAGAAATCTTTTTCTTTAAATGCAAGAAACAGCTAAAATATTTGAATCTTATTCGTCAGCGATTCTGTTTTCATCATGAAACGTATTTTTCAAATGGTCAAAAAGATCATATGTTTTTATATGTTAAAAATTTATGTAGGTTTTGAGTAGATAAAATTATTTCTTTAAATTGAAAAAGGCACCTAGGAATTTACAGTGAAAAGTATGTCTGCTATCCCATGGCACACTGCTACCCAGTTCTTCCATTCAGTAGCAGTCGCTGTTGTTCCTTTTAAGAGTAGTTGTCCACGAAGGGAAGTATTGGAGGTAAGCAAAAAACCTTTTTGTCTTCAATCCTAGCTTATATTTGGCTAGACGGTATTAATCCATCCCCCCCATTTTTAGGAACTGGAATGCAACCATTGCCATATTCATTACAATCATCCAGGGTGTCCTTTACTGCTTTTAAATAATTATATTTAAAAACATTTGCTTACAATAGCTACTGTGTCAAAAGAGTAGTTTTTTTTAAAAACCTGTATTTTTCAAAATACTAGACTTAAGATGGATGCATAGTAATTTTGATGCTCATGCACAGGAATTTAAAATGACAGTTTCAATGATCTAAAAGTTAATAACTATGACCCTAAAGGGTGTGCTCTCCTTCCACAGACCTATCATTGAACAAATGTTGAATGACATGAAAATAGTCATGGTCTCATAAGTATTTTTGAGACACATTAGGTCACTCTTTGACTTTAAACTACCATAGTAGTTTAGAAGAATATTAGTAGTAAATTAAAAGTAATAAATCAAACCAAATAAATCACTATCCTCACTAAATGGGCTCATCAGTAACTCCACAGATCATCGTTTAGAATAATTTTGTGTATTTCTCTGCTTATATTCAGATCCCCTGCAGAAATGACATTTCTTTCCTGACTTTAAGTTTATTTTGACTCTTAATTGCAGAATTTCAGGTGGGTCTTCCTTTCTCTACATTAAGGAGCCACTGAAAATACCCTTGGCCACATCCCTTGCTCCTGTTCTTGGAAACATGTTCAAATCTGTCTCCTCAGTCTATATGTTTTTAAGCCTTAAAGACTGGATAACTTAACAAAAAATACAGAGAGAGCAGAACCCAAAATTCGCTTAATATAACCTTCTATAGGCTCTGTGGAATCCCTATTGAGCAAAGAAAGTCAAATTAAAATGCTTTGTCTCCCACATAACAGTATGAAACTAGAATCACAGGCAGAAAGGATGCTACAGTGTTACCAGGTATGATTACACTTACAAAAAATTAAGCACACATTGTTATGAATTGTTGATAGAATATTAATGAAAAATTTAAATCTCTCTAGGAAGTATTCAACTGTAACTGTCACTCCAAGGTCTAGTTTGAAAAATATAGCCACAGAGTGTATTGTCCTTCTCCTTGGGAAGAACAATACTGAACCCTGGCTTTGCGCTTGGGTTGTGTTTCCAGTGAAGCTAATGCATTTGTTTCTGACGTTTACCTGTTCTTAACAGACCTGCCTTCAAAACAGGAGGTAGGGTTGTCTGAGGGACTAGGGTTTCATTCAGTATGTGGCCAATAGGGCAAGCGCACATATTGACAGACACTTCTGTACGGAAGTCCTCTCTTAGGAATTGTCAGCAGTGTATTCAACAACTATAAAATATAAGGCTCTGCAAAGCTAATCATAACAGCCTTATGACAACAGGCCTTCACTGGGATTAGGTGACTATTTACGAGAAAGTAACCATATCAGCCTTAATAACCATCAAGTTCTACTCTTGAATGTTTTAGCAAGAAGCAAAGGTCGTTGAAACAGAGAAAAGTGAAAAAAATATAGAAATTTTCCATCATCATGCTGGAAACCTAAAAGTAAAACCAATGATAATTTTTTAAAGGAAAGTAAAAGAGTAAAAATAGAACTCACTGGAACCAAAGGGGTATCTTCTATAGGAAACTTCGAATCATCTAACAAAGACAAAGGATCCTTTTTCTCACAGCTCTCCTGGCTGAGAAGCGTGTCCGCGTAGTTGGGCTGGGGGAAGATCAGGTGACTCTTCCGCGAGTCCGCGGTGAGGGAGACCTCGTGGGAATAGGTCTGCAGGAAAGCGCGCACCCCATCCACGCCCACGAAGTGCGAGGCGGGCACGCCCACCAACCCGCCTCCTGAAGCCTGGAGGAGGCGGGACCTGTGCCAGCGCCGCAGTCTGAGCGCCAGCAGCACAATGACAAAAGCGAGGAAGACGCAGGAGACCGCAGCTATCGCCACCACCAAGTACAAGGTGAGTTCTGAAGCGTCCGAGTCGTGCCGGACCTCTAGACTGCCCAGATCAGCCAGGATGTCTGGGATGCTGTCGGCCACAGCCACGGTGAGCGTGACGGTGGCCGAGAGAGGGGGCTGGCCATGGTCCTGGACGGACACCACCAGGCTCTGCTTGAGTGCGTCTCTGTCCAGCAGTGCCCGCGCCGTGCGCACCTCGCCCGTGTGCAGCCCCACGGTGAAGAGCCCTGGCTCACTGGCCTTGAGCAGGCGGTAGGACAGCCAGGCGTTCTGGCCTGAGTCTCTGTCCACTGCCACCACTTTGGTCACTAGATATCCGGGCTCTGCAGAGCGGGGTGCCAGCTCAATGCCAGTGGAACCATCAGTGGGGAGGGAGGGGTACAGGATCTCAGGTGCGTTGTCATTTTGGTCCAGTATGAACAGGCTTAGTGACACGTTGCTGCTGAGTGGTGGATCCCCACTGTCGGTGGCAGTCACCTGCATCTGCAGATCACGAAATTGCTCGTAGTCGAAGGACTGCAGCGCATACAGGACTCCTGTTTCAGAGTTGATGGAGATGTAGGAAGATAGAGGTGCCCCCTGGATAGTGTCTTCAGCTAGAGAGTAAATAACGCGAGCATTTTCTTTGCTGTCTGGGTCTAGTGCAGTCACTGAGAAGACAGAGGCACCTCGGGGGTTGTTCTCTGGGATATAGGTAAAGTAGGAGATGTCAGAGAATGTGGGTGGGTTGTCATTGATATCTGCCACTTGCAGGGTGAAGTGAATTCCTGTTGATAGAGGTGGACTCCCTCCATCTGTGGCTGTTACTGTGATGTTGTAAGAGGATACCTGTTCCCTGTCAAGGGCTCTGTATGTCACCAACCTATAATAACTATCAATGGACTTTTCTAACTTAAATGGTAGATTCCCCGATATGGAACAGGTGACCTGTCCATTCTGCCCAGAGTCTAAATCATGCACGTTTAAAAGGGCTATAACAGTTCCCAAAGGTGAATCTTCCATCAGGGGACTAAACAGAGACGTGATGGTCACCTCTGGACTGTTGTCATTTACATCTTCTACTGTAATCAACACTTTAGCAGTTGCAAGATACGCTCCTCCATCTTCCGCTTGTATTTCTATTTCATAGAAACCTGTTTCTTCATAATCTAGATTTTCTGATATTTTTATTTCCCCAGTATTTTTGTTTAGTTGGAATTTCAACAATTGTGTATCAGGTAATTTTCGGAATGAATATGTTACTTCTCCATTGGCTCCTTCATCTCTGTCGGTGGCAGTGACTGTCAGCAGCTGTGTGCCCACAGGCAAGTTCTCCGGAACACTCACTCGGTATTCGGGCAAGGTGAAGACCGGTGCATTGTCATTTGTATCGAAGACAGTCACAATGATGAGAACAGTGCCAGATCGGAGAGGGTCACCCCCGTCGGAGGCAGTGAGGACCAGGTGGTGCAGCGCCTCTTCCTCGCGATCCAGGGCGCGCTCCAGCACCAACTCCGGGTACTTGACGCCATTGGCACGGCTCTGAATTGCTAGGGTGAAGTGCTTATTGGGGCTGAGCTGGTAGCTCTGTAAAGAGTTCACGCCCACATCCGGATCAACAGCTTCCGGGAGAGGAAAACGCATTCCTGGGGCGACATTTTCATTAATTTTTACGTCTAGATTTTCTGCTTGGAATTTTGGAGCATTATCGTTGATATCAGTTACTTCTACTTCTATCCCGAAAAGTTTCACCCTATCTTCCACAAGAATGTTAAAATTCACCAGGCACCGCGAGCTCTGAGCGCAGAGCTCCTCCCGGTCTATCCTGCCCGCAGTGACCAAGCTGCCGCTTCGCGAGTTCAGAGCGAATAGCTGCGTCCTACCTCTGGAGACGATGCGGACTCCGCGCTCCGCCAGCTCCCGGGGCTCCAGACCCAGGTCCTTGGAGATGTTGCCCACGAAAGAGCCCTTCTCTAGCTCCTCAGGCACCGAGTAGCGGATCTGCCGGGCTTCAACCTCCCGTGGCATACCGAGGAAAAGGCAGAGCAGGACCAGCGCGCTGCGGTCGGAGCGATTCCTTTGAGCGGCCATTGTTGTCTGGTTACGGAATTCTGGCAAAGTCCTCACTGACACCTTCTGTGTTTTGACCGGTTCCCTTTTCTTTCTCTGGCTGCAGGGAGTCTCTGTAAACTGCGCTCCTTAAATTCTGGAGTGAGTTTCGCTGCAGCCTCGTTGCTGGTTTGTGGGAACTGTGGCGCTTTGTGTAGTTGGAGCCCTGAGAATCCGAATTGAGCGGGGTCTCCTTTTTCCTCGTAGGTGAACAGCGGCGCTCAGAGTCCTAAGAAGTTACTGCATCCAGTACGTGTGCAATAGAAATCAAACGCTACTCTTCGTTGGATATTTTATTTTATTTTACATTATTTCTTTGTTTTCTCGGCTGATATCCTTAAATAAACTACTATTTGTAGGTTTCTTACTGGATGGGATAAAGTGGAATGAAAGTACTATAAAATATTAAATGGAAATAGTCGCTTAAATATATATTTGCAACATTTGTTTTCTCAATAGAAATGTACCCACTTTAAAAGGTAAGTGACGCTTATTTTATTTCCTATGAGCTTCTAGGTATAACGCATAAAAGTCTTACAACTTTATGTGCAATTGTGATTTAAATGGCCCATTATGTTTAGTAGACATTCATATAGAGACTGAGTTATACCCCTTATAATTCACTTAAAATCTCTTTTTAGATTTAATTAACAAATTAATTAAATTTGTTTAGGAATAAAATTGTGTAAAAGGTTTCAAAATATTCTTTTCTAAAATAATTTTATTGAACCTCAATGAATGTTTCCTTGAAAATATTTATTATTAGAGGCATATTATTTGAAGTTAATTTGACCAATTTAAGTGAATTGAACAGGTAACCACAAACTAAAAGAAACATGTCTGTGTTGTAATCAGAAGAGAAATATGTACAAGAATTTCAAGTGCTACAATTTTAAAAAACAAAGACAGATATAATCATGTAGTTTTTTAAAAAAATAAGTGTTTATGTCAGATGACGTGTTTTCATCAGGACATTGATTCCAATAAAGATAATCTCTCCTCTTAGGCATTTTGTATGGAAGCCCAAGGTAAAATGGTTCACACATCTTCAATGGCATGTGCCCATCAACCCAGCATCAGTTCTCTCCTCAAAGGTGAGGGGTTTAAGAGGTTCACTTCTTTTTCTTTTTCCCTGAGGAAGATTAGGCCTGAGCTAACATCTGATGCAAATTTTCCTCTTCTTTATATGTGGGTCACCACCACAGAGTGGCTGACAGTGGTGTAAGTCCCCGCCCAGGATCTGGGATCAAAGGCGCAAACCCAGGAGACCGAAATGGAAATGCACCAAGCTTAACCACTATGCCACAGGCCGGCCCTGAGAGGTTCACTTTCATACAGAAAGCAGGTTGTTCAGAAGTGTTTATGTCACTATGCCCCCAAGTATGGAATTCTTCAAAGATTTTACCTTTTTGTCTTCAAAGATTTTATATAAGAGAATCAGAGAGCAAAAGGCAATAGCACTTCATGTACTTTCTTGGAAATTCTTTATCTTGCAGTGTAGAGGAAAAACGATTGGGAAAGAGTACATTTGAGCATCAAGAAAAGGTAAGTACTGTAAATATAAAAGAGAACCAGAAGGACCAAAAGTTGGAGGAAAACAATTCGTCTACGGTAGTTAGTTTTAAGTTTTGGAGACCACAGAAAACTTGGCAATGGAAACAAAGTTTTGACTCCTCTCCCAAGAAAAATGCAAACATCTATAACTTTGCATATAATTTCAGGGATCTGCTCCTTATTCCCCCTCAAATGCTTACAGTTTAAAAAATTATTAAAATAAACGAAGACATATACCTAAATGCACCTAAAAGGTTATTTGCACTAAACGTTTCTTTGAAAGGAGCACCTGCTTTGATATTTAATGAGTGCCTGAATAGTATTAAATATATATATATAACTAGGATATGGAAAATCCATCTTAAATCTTAGCACATTTGAGTAGATAGGAAATTATTTATTTATGTATTTGGTAAGAAGCCAAGATCCCTGCCTCTGTGTTGCTAATCTGAGCTTGAAAAGATACCTCTAATTTAGTGACATTTTTTTTCTGAATTATAGAGCAACCTATGAACCACGTAAATCTTGAAAAATATAATCAGTGAAAAACGAACATTGAGAAGAAAAGACGGTAGTTATGGATTTTCTAAATATGATTCTAAATATAAAAATGAAGTATGCCTGAAATATGAGAAACTAGTAGAGTATTACAGAAGACACAAAAAATGAAACTCACCGGTGGTATAGTCTCAGGATGTGGAGTTAAAGCATTCCCACTCTGAAGTGGAATTAAGGCCCCTGGAGAATCACCGCAAACTATGTCTTGAGTGGAATTCAAGGGCTCACTGCATTTCAGGAAATTAAACTCTGTCTTTCCAGTATGGGCAACGCACAAATTGTAGGAATAAGGTAAAGTCCCTTCGCTGTAGTTGGGGGGAACCACAGGTCCAGACTTGACACAGAGACCAGGCTGAAAGCAGCCCCAGGCGGCGGGGCTGGAGGAGCGTCGCAGGCGCAGGGCAATGGCCAGAATCACCGCGAGCAGGAAGAGCACGGAGATCAAGGCCAAGGCCACCACCAGGTAAAACTGCAGCTCAGCCTGGGGCTCAGAGGGTGCAGGATGGTCGCCGAGGTCCGGCAGTGCCTCTTGTAGGCTGTCTGCGAAGACCAGGAGCAGCGTGGCGGTGGCCGAGAGGGGCGGCTGTCCCCCGTCCCGCACGGCGACCAGCAGGCGCTGGCGGGCCGCGTCCCTGTCGCCCAAAGCACGCGCCGTGCGCACCTCGCCCGTGCGCAGCCCCAGGCTGAAGAGTCCGGGCTCGCTGGCCTGCAGCACGTGGTAGGACAACCAGGCGTTGTGTCCCGAGTCGGCGTCCACCGCCACCACCTTGGTGACCAGGTAGCCGGGCTGCGCGGCGCGCGGCACCGTGTCGAAGAGCGCCGAGCCGTCGGGCCCCAGCGCCGGGTACAGCACCCTTGGCGCGTTGTCGTTGCGGTCGCCCACCAGCACGCGCAGGCTCGCGTTGGCGCTGAGCGCGGGCGAGCCCTGGTCGCGGGCCTGCAGCGTCAGCTCGAAGGCGCGCAGCTGCTCGTGGTCGAAGGCGCGCTGCGCGAACACCACCCCGCTCTGCGCGCTCACCGACACGTAGGACGACAGCGCCCGCGGCTCCAGGTCGCTGGCCACGATGGAGTAGGAGACGCGGCCGTTGGGTCCCAGGTCGGGATCTGAGGCGCTGACTTGGGCGATGGAGGCGCCGGGCGGGTTGTTCTCAGCCACGTGGACCACGTAGTTGGCTTGGTGGAAAATTGGTGCGTTGTCGTTTATGTCGGCGATGTGCAGAGTGATGGTAGTGCTGGAGGAGAGGGGCGGCTTGCCCCTGTCAGTGGCTGTGATGGTGATGTTGTACTCTGGAGTCTGCTCTCGGTCCAAGAATCCATCTGTTACCAGCTTGTAGTAATTATTATTAGAAGAAGAAATCTTGAAAGGAACCCCTCTTCCTACATTACACTTGACTTCTCCATTTTCTCCAAAATCCCGATCCCGTGTTTTGAAGATGGCAACAACCATTCCTGGAAGAGAATCCTCCAAAATCTCATCAGAGAGAGAAGTGATGATTATTTCTGGGCTGTTGTCGTTTTCGTCTAGGATTTCTATGATTACTTTACATTGGGTCGAGAGACCACCTCCATCCTTTGCTTCCACTTCCATAGTGTATCTTTCTATATCCTCAAAATCCAATGACTGGTTATTCTTAATCATACCTGTTTTCTCATCCAATGAGAACATGTGTCTTGTACTCTGAGCGGTGCTCCTGAAGTAGTAGTTTATTTCGGCATTGACACCCTCGTCCTGGTCAGTGGCTGTCACCTGCAACACGGAGGACCCAGGGAGCAGATTTTCACTAACACTGATTCTATATTCGTCTTTGCTGAACACTGGCGAGTTATCATTGGTGTCCTTGACAAAGATTTCTATTTGAGCAGTGGCACTTCGTGGCGGGTCCCCTCCGTCCAAGGCAGTCAATATCAAGTGATGAAACCGCTTCTCTTCCCGGTCTAGAGGTTTCTCCAAAGATAACTCTGGATATTTGCCACCATCGGAATTAACTCTAACCATTAATGAGAAATAAGGGTTAGAATTTATCTGATAATCTTTAATCGAGTTCATGTTTATATCAGGGTCAGTGGCAGGGTCAAGGGATAGTCGTGCACCTAGGGATGCAGACTCAAAAATTTCTAAATGTATTTCCTTTTTATCAAATTGAGGGGCATGGTCATTAATATCCTCAACAACCACAACGATATGAAAGATATTTAAAGGATTTTCCACCACGGCTTCCAACTGCAATTCACATCTTCTTCTCTCTTTGCACATCTGCTCACGGTCTATTCGGTCCTTCACAAGTAGCTCCCCGCTCTCCGCGTCTACGCTGAAAAGCAGCTTCTCTGCGCTAACTCGCAGCTTCCGAGCCGACACATCCAGGACACTGAGCCCTAGATCCTTGGCGAGGTTCCCGACTACCGAGCCCTTGGCCAGCTCCTCAGGAATCGAGTAGCGGATCGGTTCGGAGAGCGCGGGGTAGAACAAAGGCAGCAGGAAGGGAAACAGTACCTGCCGCGGGCCGGCCGGGCGCCTCCGCGCGCAGCTCCCTCCCATTGCGCGCTCCAGTTCTCGCTCGGTCCCAGTCTTTCTGGAAAGCCGAAGAAACTGCAATTTACGGCCTCACTGGAAGAGCATTCGGCCCAGGACAGGCGGAATTGGGAATCCTTGTATGCTGGTCAGTGTGCGCAGCCGAGAGCCTCAGCGTGTGAATGTTTCCTTCTTTCTGTGTGGCTGCGCAGGAAATCCCAGGCTAGAGGCTTAGGTATCCCGGGCGTCAGCGCTTGCCCTGCACTGGCCGACAGCGGCGCCCAGAGGCCCTACGTGGAACCGCAGTCTGACATTTTCGTCTTGAATCCAGTTTATCTCCAGAATATTTATACAGAATATATATATTGCTCTTCGAAAATGCAGTTATATAATATCCCTAAATTTTAGCTTTGCCATAGTATTACAGCGGATGCCTATATACTTAGTGTTTTCAAGAAATTTATTATGGAAAATTTCAAACTTATACAAAAGTAGGGAGCATTATTATTCAATCTTTATATACCCATCACCCAACTGAAAAAGTGATCAACACAGGTCATCTTTGTTTATATACTGCACTCCCTCATTATTTTGAAGCAAATCTGAGATATTTTAATTAACTCTAAGATGAGACATCAAGATGAGCAAGAATTTTATCTTTAAGCCTGTTATGTAATCTGTTACCAATGTACAAGTTCTACGTAGCTTAAGAAAACTAGAATAGAGCATTTTCCACACTCTTCCCAGTCATCCATCCGGTGAGCCTTGTGTTCTATTTTTAAAGGCAAGTGACATTTTTATTGTAGAGAATAGTAGTTACCTACCATGACATACAGGCCTTCATCAATATATATATTAGGTGTTTTTCAAATTAGCACATATTTTAATATTTATGAATACTAAGTACTAGAGGTTACTTACCAGGACAGAAATTTTAAATGAGAGTTTTCCTATTACATGGCTAAAAATATGACCCTGAAGGATGCTTTACTTTTTTCCTACCAGCTTAAGGAAGAAAGAGCATTTGAAATAATTATACTGTATGCATATCACAATGGATTTTCACACATGTTAACATTTATATTCTTATAAGTAAAACAACATAAATTCCAAAAATAATTGTAAAGACAAGTAAAATAAAATAATTCTCTATTTCCATAGAAATGCCAGCAGTCATCAATGATCATGGATCCCATTCTTAGCATTGACTTTTGAGTCAACTTCAAGCTTATTTTCAGTCTTCTGGAATGTCATTTATTACTTAAAACAATGCTACATTTAAAATCAAATTAAATAACACATTATTCTTTTCCTTATAGCTAAAAGCCAGTGAAATATTCTTAGAAACTCCACAGCAGTCTCCAAGAATATTTTCCTAAGTTGTCTCCCATATCCACATTTATTTCTAGCCTCAAAGTTGGAGAACTGAGCCATAAAAAATATACAGTTGAAGAATAATTTTAATTTCCCTTGTTTTGTCGTCTCACAGCGTTCAGTCTCAGAAACCCCTCTTTAGCAATCATAAACTATAGGAAAGAAGAGTTTTAAACTATCAATAACTTGACATTATAGCATTAGGAAATTAAAATCTTGGAGGATATGGTAACAGGGGATGTTAAAATTCTTACTATTAAAAGAATAAAAAGTTCCTTACTAGGGTTTGGAAATACACGATAATCGAAGTTTGAATCTTTCTTAGAAATAATCGCTAAAAGCAAACAATTTCTACAAGCATGTGATCTGAAAAACATCACCTCAAAGGGGTATTGTCCTGTCATAGAAACAGAAGAGCAGAATCAGTAGATCCAGGCTTTCAGCTGTTTCTCCAAGAAGAATGCATTTGCTGTCTCATTAATTTACCCCTACAAAAATAGTATTGGCTGTAGGAATGTTTTTAGGGTAAGATTTTCACAATGGGGCCATTAGAGGTAACAATAATAATAAATTTCAGGAATGGAAAACCAGCCCTAAGGATTAGTAGTGAACCATGGTAACCAATCAAGCAACCCACCCCAAAAGCCCCTGTCAATGCAGGAGAATGAGAGTGGCCCCAGGGGAAGGTTTACATTGACCACAGGTTAATTATTATTTGAAAGTGAAAATTACATCAGCCATGTAACCCATAAACGCCTCCAATAGATGTTAGAGCAAAAATTAGGCCCAGTGAAAACTTAAATGGTGAGAAATATGTTAATATGAACTTATCCTACCTTAAGTGCAAACACTCAAAGAGAAAACCAATGGTAATAGAAAGCAAAGGAAAAACTGAACTCACTGGAACCAAAGGAGTGTCTTCTATAGGAAACTTGGAATCATCTGAAACGCATAAAGCCTCATTTTTCTCACAGCTCTCCTGGCTAACGAGCGTGTCGGCATAGTTGGGATGGGGGAAGATCACGTGACTCTTCCGCGAGTCCGCAGTGAGGGAGATTTCCCCGGAATAGGTCTGAAGGAAAGCCCGCACCCCGTCCACGCCCACAAAGTGAGAAGCAGGCATGCCAGCCAATCCGATCCTCTCAGCCTGAAACTGACTTGAGGTGCGCCAGCGCCGCAGCCTCAGTGCCAGCAACACTATGACAAAGGCGAGGAAGATGCAGGAGACCGCGGCCACAGCCACAACCAGGTACAGTGTGAGGTCTGAATCATCCGGGTTGGCCGAGGGTTCGAAGCTGCCCAGGTCAGCCAAGACGTCTGGGATGCTGTCAGCCACGGCTATGGTGAGCGTGACGGTGGCTGAGAGAGGGGGCTGGCCATGGTCCTGGACGGACACCACCAGGCTCTGCTTGAGTGCATCTCTGTCCAGCAGGGCCCGCGCCGTGCGCACCTCTCCCGTGTGCAGCCCCACCGTGAAGAGCCCTGGCTCACTGGCCTTGAGCAGGCGGTAGGACAGCCAGGCATTCTGGCCTGAGTCTCGGTCCACCGCTACCACTTTCGTCACTAGATAGCCGGGCTCTGCGGAGCGGGGCGCCAGCTCCACGCCCTGGAACCGTCGGTGGGGAGGGTGGGGTACAGAATCTCGGGCGTGTTGTCGTTCTGGTCGAGTACAAACAAGCTCAGTGACACGTTGCTGCTGAGTGGAGGGTCTCCGCTGTCACTTGCCCTCACCTGCATTTGAAGATTTCGAAACTGCTCATAGTCGAAGGAGCGCAGCGCGTATAACTCGCCGGTGTCGGAGTTGATGGAGACGTAGGATGAGAGAAGCGCCCCATGGATGGTGTCCTCGGCCAAGGAGTAAATAATTCGGGCGTTCTCGTTGCTATCAGGATCACGAGCTGTCACCGAGAAGATGGCGGTGCCTCTAAGGTTGTTCTCAGGGAGGTAGACTGAGTAGGAGGTTTGAGAGAAGGAGGGTGGATTGTCGTTGATGTCGACCACGTGCAGGGTGACGTGAATTTCTGAGGACAGGGGCGGCGTCCTCTGTCAGTTGCAGTCACTGTGATGTTATATTCAGAGTTTTTTTCTCGGTCAAGAATTTGAGCTGTCAACAATCTGTAATAATCTTCTATCGACTTTTCTAATTGAAAAGGTAGGCTCTCCTGGATGGAACAGACAACTTGGCCGTTCTTCCCGGAGTCTCTGTCGTGAGCATTGAAAAGAAGGATTACTGTTCCTGGAGGAGCATCTTCCCTCACTGGGCTAAACAGAGATGTCATGATCACTTCCGGTCTATTGTCATTTACATCTTCCAGCGAAATGAGCACTTTAGTCCGCCCCTTCAATCCCCCACCATCTTCAGCTTGTATTTCCATTTCATAAAATGCACATTCTTCATAATCTAGATTCTTTGCTGTTGATATTTCCCCAGTGTTTTCATTAAGCTCGAATAATGGAGATTGTTTTTCACTAATTTTCCAGAATGTATACGCCACTCTTCCGTTGGCTCCCTCATCCGGGTCGCTAGCTCTTACAGTAAGCAGACGGGTGCCCTGGGGCACGTCCTCTGGGACTTTCACTCGGTAAATCGGTTGAGCAAAAACAGGGGCATTGTCGTTTGTATCCAACACTGTCACCTGGATGTGCACTGTGCTGGAACGACGCGGATCGCCGCTGTCGGAGGCGGTGAGGACCAGGTGGTGAGCAGCCTCTTCCTCACGGTCCAGGGCCCGCTCCAGCACCAGCTCTGGGTTTATAGTTCCGTCGTCTCCAGTTTGCACGTCCAGGGAGAAGTGGTGACTGGGGCTGAGCTGGTAGCTCTGCAGGGAATTCAAGCCCACATCCCGGTCAACAGCCTCTGGGAGTGGATAACGCGTTCCAGGTGCAGCGATTTCGTTAATTTTTACTTCCAGATTTTCGGTCTGGAATTTTGGGGCATTGTCGTTTATATCAGTTACTTCTATTTCTATTCCATAAAGTTGCACTCTGTCTTCAACCAGGACTTTAAAGTTCACCAGACACCGCGTGCTCTGAGCGCAGAGCTCCTCCCGGTCTATTCTGCCCGCGGTGACCAAGCTGCCGCTTCGCGGGTTCAGAGCAAAGAGCTGCGTCCTACCTCTGGAGACGATGCGGACTCCGCGCTCCGCCAGCTCCCGGGGCTCCAGCCCCAGCTCCTTAGAGATATTCCCCACGATATAGCCTTTTTCTGTCTCTTCAGGCACTGAGTAGTGGATCTGACTGGCCCTGATCTCCCACAGTCTCCCCAGGAAAAGGCACAGCAGGACCAGTCCTGTGTGGTGCGGGCGATTCCTTGGAGCGGCCATTGTTTTTTCACTACGGATTTTTTTCGGAATGCTTTCTCTGCACGCTGACTCCTTAGGTTCTTTTTTCCTCCTGCAAATTATGGTGATCTATTTTCTCGAGAAACCCGTAGTGCCCCAGGTTAGGAGGCTGAGTTTTGTTTCAGCCCCCCGGAGTTGGTCTGTGGTATCTGCGGGGCTTTGTGTAGTTGCAGATCCTAATATCTGACGAGCTCTGACTGAGCTTTTCTCAGAGTTGGTGAACAGCGGCGCTCAGAGTCCTAAGCCTTTACTACACCCAGTGAGATTAGCAAAATGTACTTGATTATAGATGACTGTAAAAGGAACACCACTACGGTCTTCTAATTATGATTTTAGATTTCTCTAATTGTTTCTTGCACTCCTATTTCAAAAGCAATTACCATTTGTGGATATCTTAGTTGGAAATGAAGTGGAATAAAATTTCTATTAAGTGTATTATTAAATCGCCATCTTTTCTAATAACAAATTAACTTACTCTTATTCTTGGTAGAATTTTGCTCTCTCTACATATGTAAATTATTCTGATTTCCTTTTTTTAGTGTTTCACATTTTTCTATATGCCGTTATCTGTTTTTTGGAGTAATTACAAAGTTCAATCCTCTTTGGAAATACATTCATATTTTGTTAATTTTATACATTTATACTTACATGTGCATATTACATAACTATATTGAATGAATATATATGGATAGATTATTCCCTTTGAAGTTGTTTTATAAGGTTAATTTAGTTTGATAGTAAAATTCCTGGAGTGAGGTTTCCTCAAGATTTTGTTTACAAAAATGATTTTAATTAGGCAATCATAATAGATTTATCTCAAAAATATTACTGAATTTTCAAAGGATTGGTTTTTAAAATTTACACATTTGTGATTCTTAAACTTTTATGCTATTTAAAACTTTTCTTTTTAATTTTCTATGTGAGTACATAATGCATGCTCAGTCTATGGCATTTGGAAGATTCAAATCAATATACAGTGAAAAACAAGTTTCCATGTCAATCCTCCCCTTAGGAAATTACACAACTTCAAAGTCTTAAACTTCTTATTCTAAGGGTCACTTAAACTTATGTAGTAATTTGGGGAAAAGAACACAAGAGTAGAACCAATTATTACCACAAAAGTAAAAAGGACATGTCATTATGAGAAATTTCTTTCAGCAGTTTGTAAAGAAGCAATTTACTGAAGAAGTTTCTAAGGAAACTGGGCAAAAGACTGATAGTTATGTAATGGAAATTTTGTATGTGCATGAAATTAGTTTTTGCCTTAAAAATTTAAAACTTAGGATTCTCCATTCCATCCTACAGATAAAAGGATGATGAGAAAATCTCTAGTCACTAATGTTTAGGGCTCCAAATAAGACAAATCCCGTGACTTTTTTCCCCCCTTCCCTCTTCAAAAAATATAGGTCAGGAATGAGAGCAGGTGAGAGATGCCATAGCACTGCCTTTTCTTTTCTCAAGTAACTATGAAGAGGTGAGTGTAAAGAGGAAGAGGAGGATTTGGCATTCACAAAAACTTGAAGAACTTAATGATTTGGACCTTCTGATAAGTTCACTGAGTCTCGCTCCTACACACACAGTATTTTTCTTATAATTTTAATGGATTCACAAAATCACAAATAGGTGGATGTAAAGAACTAGACATGATAAATAAACATGAGGAAGGGATGGAGACTGTACCAGGAAACCAGTGCAGGAAGATACCTAGTAGTAGTTTCTTTGTTTTAAAGGATGAATTAAGTGATTGCCTGCTTTAAATTTAATGTCTACTTACACACAAAATTTTAAAAATGTTAATAAAGAACGAGATAATCAATGGGTAAATTTCATTAGCTTTGAAAAAAGAGATAAGAAATTGGTACAATACTTGTGCTCAGAAGCAAAGAGTACTCTCACTAATTTCCAGATCTGAACTTGGTAAGATAACTCTATTTTATGTCACATAACTACTCCCATTCACCGCTCCTCTCAAAGAATGGAAATGTAGCTTTCTGTCGGACTATAATGTCTCTAAGAGAACTTAGTAGACTTGGAAATGTAATAATTTTGATATAAATGTGAAAATTAGGTAGATGATGAAAAGGAATAGACACTTAAATGGAACTCACCGCTGTTAGAGTTTCGGGATGGGAAGTCAACTCACTGGAATTACAAACCGGAAATAACGGCCCAGACGAATCACCACAAAGCATGTCCTGTCCTGAACTCAATTGTTCATTACATTTTAGAAAATTAAACTCTTTCTTTCCAGTACGGGCAACGCACAAATTGTAGGAATAAGGTAAAGTCCCTTCGCTGTAGTTGGGGGGAACCCCAGGTCCAGACTTGACAGAGACCAGGCTGAAAGCAGCCCCAGGCGGCGGGGCTGGAGGAGCGTCGCAGGCGCAGGGCAATGGCCAGAATCACTGCGAGCAGGAAGAGCACGGAGATCAAGGCCAAGGCCACCACCAGGTAAAACTGCAGCTCAGCCTGGGGCTCAGAGGGTGCAGGATGGTCGCCGAGGTCCGGCAGCGCCTCTTGTAGGCTGTCTGCGAAGACCAGGAGCAGCGTGGCGGTGGCCGAGAGGGGCGGCTGTCCCCCGTCCCGCACGGCGACCAGCAGGCGCTGGCGGGCCGCGTCCCTGTCGCCCAAAGCACGCGCCGTGCGCACCTCGCCCGTGCGCAGCCCCAGGCTGAAGAGTCCGGGCTCGCTGGCCTGCAGCACGTGGTAGGACAGCCAGGCGTTGTGTCCCGAGTCGGCGTCCACCGCCACCACCTTGGTGACCAGGTAGCCGGGCTGCGCGGCGCGCGGCACCGTGTCGAAGAGCGCCGAGCCGTCGGGCCCCAGCGCCGGGTACAGCACCCTTGGCGCGTTGTCGTTGCGGTCGCCCACCAGCACGCGCAGGCTCGCGTTGGCGCTGAGCGCGGGCGAGCCCTGGTCGCGGGCCTGCAGCGTCAGCTCGAAGGCGCGCAGCTGCTCGTGGTCGAAGGCGCGCTGCGCGAACACCACCCCGCTCTGCGCGCTCACCGACACGTAGGACGACAGCGCCCGCGGCTCCAGGTCGCTGGCCACGATGGAGTAGGAGACGCGGCCGTTGGGTCCCAGGTCGGGATCTGAGGCGCTGACTTGGGCGATGGAGGCGCCGGGCGGGTTGTTCTCGGCCACGTGGACCACGTAGGAGGCCTGGTGGAAAACCGGAGCATTGTCGTTGACGTCAGTGATGTGCAAGGTGACACTTATGCTGGCGGAGAGGGGCGGCTTGCCCCTGTCAGTGGCTGTGATGGTGACATTGTACTCTGGAGTCTGCTCTCGGTCCAGGGTCCCGTCTGTTACCAATTTATAAGAATTTTTGGAGGAAGAGATTATCTGAAAAGGGACTTCACCCTCTAATCGACAATTAACCTCCCCATTCTCCCCAGAATCTTGGTCATGTATTTTGATCAAAGCAATTAGCGTTCCAGGCACTGCGTTTTCCAGAATGTTTTCGACTAGAGTATGGAATGTAACTTCTGGGCTGTTGTCATTTTCATCTTGAATGTTAATTTCAACCGTACATTGTGCAACCAGTCCTCCGCCATCCCTCCCTTCCACCACTATGGAATATTTCTTGATTTCTTCAAAATCCAGTGTCCTTAGAGTTGTAATTTCCCCACTCTTTGAATTCAGATGAAAGACTTGCCCGGTCCTGTAGAAGGAATAAGTGATTTGGGAGTTAACACCCTCATCCTGGTCAGTGGCTGACACCTGCAGCACAGCAGTGCCTGGGGGCACGTTTTCTCGAAGGCTGACCCTGTACACGTCCTGGTGGAATACTGGGGGGTTATCATTGGCATCAGTGACCTGGATGCGCAGCTCAGTTGTGCCGCTTAGGGGTGGGTCTCCGCCGTCCAACGCAGTGAGGACTAAACGATGATAACCCTGTTGTTCCCTGTCTAAGGGTTTCTCCAATGTCAGTTCCGGGTATTTACTACCATCTTGTTTCTCCTTATTTATCAATGAGAAACTAGGACTAAGAGAGAGTTTATAATTTCGCAGAGAGTTTAAGCCAATATCTGCATCTTCCGCTACTTCTAATATAAATCGGGTGCCTGGCAGTGTAGACTCACTTATTTGCAGGTCAAAGGAATTTTGTGTGAATTTTGGCATGTGGTCATTAATATCCTCGATCTCCACATTCACGTGATAAAAGTTCAATGGGTTTTCAGCAACAGCCTCAAATTCAAGAGCACAGGCTGGGTTCTTCCCACATATCTGCTCCCGGTCTAGCCTGCTGCTCACAAGTAACTCCCCGCTCTCTGCGCTCACAGTGAAGTAAGGCTTCTCGGAACTGACGCGCAGTTTTCGAGTTGGTAACTCCAGGACGCTCAGTCCCAGGTCCTTGGCGAGGTTCCCCACCACCGAGCCCCCGGGCATTTCCTCGCGAATCCTGTAGCGGATCTGCTCCGACAGCGCGGGCCAGAACAAAGACAGCAGGAAGGGAAAGAGCACTGGCCGCCTCTCAGCCCAGCCGTTCTCCCCAGCGCCGCTCCCCATCCCTCTTGCTCCCCTCAGCTGGCTCACCAGACCTGGAGACGCAGGATTACAAATAAGCTCAGTGCTGCAGATGTCCGGAGCTCCGAATAGGCTTTATTTCCTGCGTGGTGGTCAGGGTTTCTCCTTTTCCAGAAGAGGAAGCGGTGTAAAGGCTGGCGCTAGGGAGTCTGAGATGGGGAAAGTGCGCTGCGGCTGCGCGAGATCACTGGCTCCAAGCTCTCCACTTTGGCCAACAGCGGCGCCCAGAGTCCGCACTGGGAAACTGCAGCCTCTGCTGCTTCAGTTTTACCAGCTAGGATAATCATGACAGTGCGCCTAACTGAACGAGCTATGTTTTTATGTTAATATATTTAATATCTTAAACTATAAAGCATTCTCTAAGGTATCTTTTCTTTTTTCCCAAAATAATTAGAAATATCACGTTGGATTTTTATACAAACCTACATGTATATTGGTTCATTCATTTCACCAATCCACAAACCTACGTTGAACTCTTGTGCTAAGTACTGCCCTCGTCAGTGGCGATATAACAATGAACAAGACACAGGTCTTGCCATCGGAGAGTTTGTCCTCTACTGATTTCACAAATTCATTTCTCTTTATTAGCTATGACATGTGAAATAATTTTTAACCTGCTTTGATTGATCCCTGTTTCCCCCATTTCTAAGTAATGCTGTTTCATAGCACACGTATTAGAGAACATCAGTACTGTTGAAAGCTATTTTGTAAAGTTGTGCAGTTTTGTACTAATCCTCAAACATCTCCTCCTACTGATAATATCAACAGTCTCTTTATAAAAATACCTTAATTTTATTCTTCTGACTACCTCAAGAAGTATTCATTCAAAAAAACTGCTCCTGTCATGTAGCCAAGAGATGATTTGCTCTACCCTCTTCTCCACATCTCCACATTACTTGGGTTACGTAACACGCAATATAGTACATAAATTCATTCTTAAAAGTCACTGGGGGAAATGCTTATCTATTCTTCAATACAAAGTCACAAAGGGATATTCCTCATCTATGTCCCTAGGTTATACTGAAGCAATGACTTTGGAATTGGAGGAATTAAGCTCATGGTAAGTATTTACACAAATCTACTGACTACAGTGACATTATTCTAATTATTTTACTCCATTTATTACAATTTTTTTGACAATTAATGAATAGTTTGAGCAAGAGTAAGGATTTTCTTTTGGGGGGAGCATTCCACACACTTTTAAAAATTGCAAAGTGTCTGGAACAGAATTGAAAGCCCAGCAATAAAACCACACATCTATGGACAGCTAATCTTTGACAAAGGAGCTGAGGGCCTACAATGGAGGAAAGAAAGTCTCTTCAACAAATGGTGCTGGGAAAACTGGACAGCCACATGTAAAAGAATGAAAATCAACCATTCTTTTTCACCATTTACTAAAATAAACTCAAAATGGATCAAAGACCTAAACATTAGGCCTGAAACAATAAGTCTTCTAGAAGAGAATATCGGTAGTACACTCTTTGACATCAGCTTCAAAAGAATCTTTTCAGACACCATAACCCCTCACATGAGGGAAACAATAGAAAGAATAAACAAATGGGACTTCATCAGACTAAAGAGCTTCTTAAAGGCAAGGGAAAACAGTATTGAAACAAAAAAAACCAGCCCACTAATTGGGAAAAAATATTCACAAGTTATTTATCTGACAAAGGGTTAATCTCCATAATATACAAAGAACTCACACAACTCAACAATAAAAAATCAAACAACCCAGTTACAAAATGGGCAGGGGACATGAACAGACATTTCTCCAAAGAAGATATACAGATGGCCAATAGACACATGAAAAGATGCTCATCATCACTAATCATCAGGGAAATGCAAATCAAATCTACACTAAGATATCATGTTACACCTGTTAGAATGGCAAAAATATCCAAAACCAAGAGTGACAAATGTTGGAGAGGCTGTGAAGAAAAGGGAACCCTCATACACTGTTGGTGGGAATGCAAACTGGTGCAGCCACTATGAAAAACAGTATGGAGATTCCTCAAAAAGTTAAGAATAGAAATACCTTATGACCCAGCCATCCCACTACTGGGTATCTATCCCAAGAACCTGCAATCAGCAATTCCAAAAGTTCCACACACCCCTATGTTCATCGCAGCATTATTCACAATAGCCAAGTCATGGAACCAACCTAAGTGCCCAGCAACTGATGATTGGATAAAGGAGATGTCGTATATATATACAATGGAATACTACTCATAAAAAGGACAAAGTCGTCCCAGTCACAACAACATGGATAGACCTTGAGAGTATTATGTTGAGTGAAATAAGCCAGACAGAGAAAGACGAACTCTGTATGACTCCACTCATAGGTGGTAGTTAACATATGGACAAAGAGAACTGATCGGTGGTTGCCAGGGGAAAGGGGGGTGGGGGGAGGGCACTAGGGGTGAAGTGGTATACCTACAACATGACTAATAATGATGTACAACCGTAATTTCACAAGGATGTTAACTTTCATAACCTTAATTAAAAAAAACTAAAAAAAAAATTGCAAAGTGTCAATAATATAGTTATCCCCTCAAATGACTGTGTGCCAAAACACTACAGAAAATATGACGTTAACTCCCACCCACTGTATATGCAAAAGAGGAGGGAACACTTCAAGATCTTTCAGAAGTGTCCTTTTTATTACTAACTAATGATTTCTTGTGTTTTCAACTCTTATCTGATGACAAATCAGGGATTACTTTTATTAAAATGCTATAAGAAGGAATATCAAAGACATATGGTCCAGATAGAATCATTTTAATTTGAATTAATCAGCTTGTTTAGAATATGAGTGCATGAAACTTCTGTTCTTAAAGTCAACATGTGCAAACCCTCTCACCATAAGAACACAGCACGTTTCACATGACTGCACAATCAAAACAGCTCAGTGGAACTGTATTGAAACATGTTCTTCTGTATTTTACAAAAGTCACTTTCAACAGTTTAAAATAACATTTCATTTCAAATCTGACTTTATTGCTTTTGGTTTTTTGGGGGGGGGCAATGGCCATTTTAGACTTTAGGTTCCACGTCTCCATTGGTACAAAACCCTTGGTCACCACTGATACAGAAACTGAACATTTAGGGACAATCTCACCTACCAGGATCCACCCTCTAAAATGTGTTTATGCTTTGAAATATGACAAGACATATTAAAGCTTTGAAGGATACTGAAGCAGAAGACATAGGGCTAAGAAAAGAGGTTTAAAGTGAAGAAATCTTCAAGAGACTAGTTTTAGATCCAAACCCTAAACATAAATCCTAAAAATCCTGAGATGTATTTTACTTTTATTAAGCTAATACAGGAATTAAAAGTCTCAATAATTTTTCCTGGGGCCAGCCCATAGCCAAGTGGTTAAGTTCCCCCGTGCTTCCCTTAGGGGGCCCAGAGTTTCCCTGGTTCAGATCCTGGGCATAGACAGGGCATCGCTCATCAGGCCATGCTCAGGCTGCATCCCACATAGTACAACCAGAGGCACTCACAACTAGAATATATAACTATGTACTGGGAGGCTTTGGGAAGAAGAAGAAGAAGAAAAAAAAGAAGATTGGCAACAAATGTTAGCTCAGGTGCCAATCTTTTAAAAAAATAATTTTTCCTCAGCTGTAATATATAGGAGTAAATATAAATATATACACATAATGGCATTCTCTGTACTCCACCATATGTATATATATGGTAAGTTATAATATATAACTTACTATGTGTGGTGGGGTAACTACTTCTTAAGTGAATAAGTGATAAGTGACAATTATAGTAAAATACGGAAGGTTTAAAACATTGAGAGTTCACATTTAAACAATCTTGTCCAAGCCTTTGAAAAGCAAATGACACCACAAACTATAATTAGAGCTCAACTTTTTAGTATCACAATTAAAATAACCCAAAACTTTGTAGTACACCTTAAACAATATTTCAAACTTCTTCACAATACGTGTTTCAGATGACGTAAATTAAATTTATACCCAATATAATTCCTCTGAGAAACGTAAACAGAGAACTGAACTCACCTGAACAGACGCAGCTTCATCCGTACATTGCTGAAAATCTATGGATGTTAACAAGGGATCCTTTTTCTCACAGCTCTCCTGGCTGAGGAGCGTGTCCGCGTAGTTGGGCTGCGGGAAGATCAGGTGACTCTTCCGCGAGTCCGCGGTGAGGGAGACCTCGTGGGAATAGGTCTGCAGGAAAGCGCGCACCCCGTCCACACCCACAAAGTGCGAGGTGGCCACGCCCCCCAACCCGCTTCCTGAAGCCTGGAGCAGACGAGACCTGTGCCAGCGCCGCAGTCTGAGTGCCAGCAGCACTATGACAAAGGCGAGGAAGATGCAGGAGACTGCCGCCACCGCCACCACCAGGTACAATGTGAGATCTGAATCATCAGAGTTGACAGGGGTCCTGATGCTGCCCAGGTCAGCCAGGACGTCTGGGATGCTGTCAGCCATGGCCACGGTGAGAGTGACAGTGGCTGAGAGTGGGGGCTGGCCGTGGTCCTGGACGGCCACCACCAGGCTCTGCTTGAGAACGTCTCTGTCCAGAAGGGCCCGTGCCGTCCGCACCTCTCCCGTGTGCAACCCCACTGCGAAGAGCCCTGGCTCACTGGCCTTGAGCAGGCGGTAGGACAGCCAGGCGTTCTGGCCTGAGTCTCTGTCCACTGCCACCACTTTCGTCACTAGGTAGCCAGGTTCTGCAGAGCGGGGTGCCAGCTCTACGCCAGTGGAACCATCGTTGGGGAGCACAGGGTACAAGATCTCTGGCACGTTGTCGTTCTGGTCCAACACACTCAGACTCAGTGACACGTTGCTACTGAGTGGAGGGTCCCCACCATCACTGGCAATCACCAGTAGCTGCAAGTCTCGGATTTGCTCATAATCAAAGGAGCGCAGTGCATACAAGACACCGCTGTCAGAGTTGATGGAGACATAGGAGGAGAGAGGTGCCCCCATGATGGTGTCCTCCATCAGAAAGTAAGTGACTCGGGCGTTTTCATCATTGTCGGGATCATGGGCGGTCACAGAGAAGATGGAGGCTCCTCTGGGGTTGTTCTCTGGGATATAGGTTGAGTAGGAGGCATGAGAGAAAGTGGGAGCATTGTCATTTGTGTCTGCCACATGCAAGGCAATGTGAGTTTCAGTAGACAGAGGCGGGGTTCCTCGATCTGAGGCTATCACTGTGATATTGTACATAGAGATATTTTCTCTGTCCAAATATTTCCATGTCACCAATCTATAATAATTATCTATTGATTTTTCTAATTGAAAAGGCAAATTATCACGTGTGTAACAGACAACTTGACCATTCTTCCCAGAGTCTCGGTCATGCACATTCAAGAAGGCAATTACCGTCCCAGGAAGAGTATTTTCCAAGACCGGGCTAAACAGAGATGTAACGACCACTTCGGGTCTATTGTCATTTACATCTTCCACTGAAATGAGCACTTTGGTCCTCCCCAGAAGTGCCCCCACATCTTCAGCTTGTATTTCTATTTCATAAAATGCACATTCTTCATAATCTAGATTCTTTGCTGTTGATATTTCCCCAGTATTTTCATTAAGCTCGAATAATGGAGATTGTGTTTCACTCATTTTCCAGAATTTATACGCCACTCTTCCGTTGGCTCCCTCATCCGGGTCGCTAGCTCTTACAGTAAGCAGACGGGTGCCCTGGGGCACGTCCTCTGGGACTTTCACTCGGTAAATCGGTTGAGCAAAAACAGGGGCATTGTCGTTTGTATCCAACACTGTCACCTGGATGTGCACTGTGCTGGAACGACGCGGATCGCCGCTGTCGGAGGCGGTGAGGACCAGGTGGTGAGCAGCCTCTTCCTCACGGTCCAGGGCCCGCTCCAGCACCAGCTCTGGGTTTATAGTTCCGTCGTCTCCAGTTTGCACGTCCAGGGAGAAGTGGTGACTGGGGCTGAGCTGGTAGCTCTGCAGGGAATTCAAGCCCACATCCGGGTCAACAGCCTTTGGGAGTGGATAACGTGTTCCAGGTGCAGCGATTTCGTTAATTTTTACTTCCAGATTTTCGACTTGGAATTTCGGGTTGTTATCATTGATATCAGTGATTTCTATTTCTATCCCAAAAAGTTTCCCTCCATCCTCTACCAGGATGTTGATATTTACAAGACACCGCGCGCTCTGAGCACAGAGCTCCTCCCGGTCTACCCTGCCTGCAGTGATTAAGCTGCCGGTTCTCCGGTTCAGAGCAAAGAGCTGTATCCTACCTCTGGAGACGATGCGGACTCCGCGCTCCGCCAGCTCCCGGGGTTCCAGCCCCAGGTCCTTGGAGACGTTACCCACGAAAGATCCTTTGTCGCTCTCTTCTGGCACCGAATAGTGGATCTGTCCTCCCCCAATCTCCCACAGCGTGCCCAGGAGCGCGCACAGCAGGACCAGCTCTCCGCGTCCTCGGTAATCCCTTGGGGCAGCCATTGTTCTTTCGCTAAGGAATCCACTCAGAATCTTCATTGGGCATTTGTGTCTTGTTTACCTTTTTGCTGCAGCTATGGAGATGATCTTATCGAAAGCTGGAGCGTCCCAAATTTAGAGACGGAGTTTCGCTGCAGCCCCTGCAGTTGTTTTGTGGGATCTGTAGGTCTTTGCGAGGTGCAGCCCTGAATATCCGGACCGCGGAGTTTGCTTACATTTATCTCCAAGTAGGTGAACAGCGGCGCTTAGAGTCCCAAGCAGTTACTGCACCCATTTAGATATGTAACATTGTATGCTAGGTTACTGAGGAAAAAGTACTACTTGCTTTTTATAGTTTGTTTTGAATTTAATTTGTCCCTAAATTAATATTTTAAAAGTAATTACCAAGAAATGTGGGATGAAGTAGGGTTAAAGTCTTACAAAGTATTATTAAATAATCAGATTTATGGTTTAGCATTACTACTAAAATTTCTGGAATACATTTACTCTTTTAAAAAATAAATTATTAAAATTTTATTTATTATGCTCTGAGCTTTATTATAAATGTCTTCAATATCTATTGTCAAATAAGTAAGAACACCAGTGGTCACTGGAAATTAATTCATTTTTAGACTAAAATAGACCTATTGGAGATGTTTGACTCAAAACGTTGTTTTATTTGGTTTAGAGCAATTAATCATTATAGTAAGCTTTCTGTAGAGTTGTTGCTTTTTCATTTTCTTTATAAAATGTCATAATTACACATTGACAATATTTTCAAACTAATATGGTGAAATTTTAACAGGTTAAGGTCTTTTCAAGGTTTATCAGAGATTATACTATTTTGCTAGTTTTATTTAAATTATTTATATTTTTTCTATTTGAATAGAAAATACTTGAAAGGTACAAATGAATATACATTGAAAAGCAAATCTCCATACTCTTCTTCCCCCAATGACAGATGATTTACATTTTAGAGTAGACTTACTCAACTTCTTAAGTAGACATATTCTAAAGTTATTTTTACCTTAATTAGTACTTTGATCAAAAGAATTACAAACACAGTAAGGAACATGTAAGGAAGCAGTTACTAAGGGGAAATCTAGCAAAGGCTAACACAACATATTATCATCTTGTGTATATATTTGTATGCACATCAGACTGATAATTTTGTCTAAAATTTGAAGAATTCAAGACTCTGTTTTCCTCCTTGAGATAGTAGAATGACCAGAAGACCTCTAGCTACATTAGTTTAGGGCTCCAAAAAAGACAGTTCAAAAATTATATAGGAGTGTGTGTGAGAGAAGCAACAGAGGTGAAAACATCTTTTCTTTGATGGAGGAGCCTATGGAATGAGCTTCGACACAGATTAATCCTGAAATCCTATGCAGCAAGTAAGGAGAACAGACTTTTGCCTTCTGATGAGCATAATGGATCTACTGTTCACTCAAGCGATTTTACACTCACACACGCGTGCACACACGGTACATTGCATACGATTACAGTGAGTCCATCTACCTACAAATACAGGTTAAAATACCTTATTCTAGGAGCTTTGGAAACAAAAGGGAGGTAAATATAAGAAATAAAACATCAAATTAGTATGGAAACCATAACAGTTAAATCAGTTAAGAAAAATAACTAATTTTAGCTTAAAATGTTTTGCTTTAAAGGTTTATCTAAATTACTGCCTACTTTTACATTTACAGTATGTCCAAACCAGAAGAAGAAATCATTGTACATTAAGCGACAGGAAGAAAATCTCAGGGAAAAATTCATTGGTTTTTATGAGAGAGCCTCGAACATTGTCCAATGTTTCCCTTTGTAGATAAAACCATACCCTCACTGCTTTGAAAATCTGAGTCTGGTAAGACAACCCTAAAAGACACATAATTGCTCCTACTTCAACCTCCCTTGAAGAATGGGTAACAGATTTTTGACTGGCTACAACTTTCTTAAAGACAATTTTAGATCTGAAAATTGTTTGTTTTCCTGTGAATATGGAGAACTGGGTAGACCATAAGAAGCAGGTTATGCTTAAAGGAAACTCACCGGCTGGAAGGCTGACTCACTGGAATTACAAATCGGAAATAACGGCCCAGACGAATCACCACAAAGCATGTCTTGTCCTGAACCCAACTGCTCAGTACATTTTAGAAAATTAAACTCTGTCTTTCCAGTACGGGCAACGCACAAATTGTAGGAATAAGGTAAAGTCCCTTCGCTGTAGTTGGGGGGAACCCCAGGTCCAGACTTGACGCAGAGATCAGGCCGAAAGCAGCCCCAGGCGGCGGGGCTGGAGGAGCGTCGCAGGCGCAGGGCAATGGCCAGAATCACTGCGAGCAGGAAGAGCACGGAGATCAAGGCCAAGGCCACCACCAGGTAAAACTGCAGCTCAGCCTGGGGCTCAGAGGGTGCAGGATGGTCGCCGAGGTCCGGCAGCGCCTCTTGTAGGCTGTCTGCGAAGACCAGGAGCAGCGTGGCGGTGGCCGAGAGGGGCGGCTGTCCCCCGTCCCGCACGGCGACCAGCAGGCGCTGGCGGGCCGCGTCCCTGTCGCCCAAAGCACGCGCCGTGCGCACCTCGCCCGTGCGCAGCCCCAGGCTGAAGAGTCCGGGCTCGCTGGCCTGCAGCACGTGGTAGGACAGCCAGGCGTTGTGTCCCGAGTCGGCGTCCACCGCCACCACCTTGGTGACCAGGTAGCCGGGCTGCGCGGCGCGCGGCACCGTGTCGAAGAGCGCCGAGCCGTCGGGCCCCAGCGCCGGGTACAGCACCCTTGGCGCGTGTCGTTGCGGTCGCCCACCAGCACGCGCAGGCTCGCGTTGGCGCTGAGCGCGGGCGAGCCCTGGTCGCGGGCCTGCAGCGTCAGCTCGAAGGCGCGCAGCTGCTCGTGGTCGAAGGCGCGCTGCGCGAACACCACCCCGCTCTGCGCGCTCACCGACACGTAGGACGACAGCGCCCGCGGCTCCAGGTCGCTGGCCACGATGGAGTAGGAGACGCGGCCGTTGGGTCCCAGGTCGGGATCTGAGGCGCTGACTTGGGCGATGGAGGCGCCGGGCGGGTTGTTCTCGGCCACGTGGACCACGTAGGAGGCCTGGTGGAAAACCGGAGCGTTGTCGTTTACATCTCCGATGCGCACGGTGATGGTAGTGCTGGCGGAGAGGGGCGGCTTGCCCCTGTCAGTCGCTGTGATGGTCACATTGTACTCCGGAGTCAGCTCCCGATCTAGAACTCCATCTGTCACTAATTTATACGTGTTTCTTGAAGAAGTGAGTAATTTAAACGGAACTTCACCTTCTAATTTACAAATAACTTCTCCGTTGTCTCCGGAATCCTTGTCACGGATTTTGAGCAAAGCAATGTGTGTTCCCAGGTTGGCGTCTTCCATAATAAGATCCGGCAGAGATTGGAATATCACTTCTGGGACGTTATCATTTACGTCTAGGACTTCTATCTCTACCGTACATTGGGCAATCATTCCTCCACCATCCCTTGCTTCCAGAACTATGGAATATTCTTTGACTTCCTCAAAATCTAACTTATTTAGAATAGTAATTTCCCCAGTATTAGAATTCAGGTCGAACTGGGTGATATGGCCTGCGTCAGTGAAAGAGAAGGTGATCTCGGCATTGACACCCTCATCCTGGTCCGTGGCCATCACTCGAAGCACAGTGGTGCCTGGGAACACATTTTCTGGAAGGTCCACCCTGTATAGTTCCTGGCTGAACACTGGAGGGTTATCATTGGCATCAGTCACTAGGACCTGTATCTGCGCAGTGCTGCTGAGTGGTGGATCCCCGCAGTCCAAGGCAGTCAAGATTAAGTGGTAGGACTTCTGCTCTTCCCGGTCTAAGGGCATCTTCAGTACCAGCTCGGGGTATTTACTACCATCTAATTTCTCTTTATTCACGAGTAAGAAATGATCACTGGGATTGAGCTGATAATTCTGTAGTGAGTTGGTACCAATATCTGCATCATAGGCAGATCCTAAGATAAATCGTGCCCCAGGCTTTGTGGACTCACTTATTTGTAGCTCAAAGGAATTTTGTGTGAATTTTGGCATGTGGTCATTAATATCCTCGATCTCCACATTCACGTGATAAAAGTTCAATGGGTTTTCAGCAACAGCCTCAAATTCAAGAGCACAGGCTGGGTTCTTCCCACATATCTGCTCCCGGTCTAGCCTGCTGCTCACAAGTAACTCCCCGCTCTCTGCGCTCACAGTGAAGTAAGGCTTCTCGGAACTGACGCGCAGTTTTCGAGTTGGTAACTCCAGGACGCTCAGTCCCAGGTCCTTGGCGAGGTTCCCCACCACCGAGCCCCCGGGCATTTCCTCGCGAATCCTGTAGCGGATCTGCTCCGACAGCGCGGGCCAGAACAAAGACAGCAGGAAGGGAAAGAGCACTGGCCGCCTCTCAGCCCAGCCGTTCTCCCCAGCGCCGCTCCCCATCCCTCTTGCTCCCCTCAGCTGGCTCACCAGACCTGGAGACGCAGGATTACAAATAAGCTCAGTGCTGCAGATGTCCGGAGCTCCGAATAGGCTTTATTTCCTGCGTGGTGGTCAGGGTTTCTCCTTTTCCAGAAGAGGAAGCGGTGTAAAGGCTGGCGCTAAGGAGTCTGAGATGGGGAAAATGCGCTGCGGCTGCGCGAGATCACTGGCTCCAAGCTCTCCACTTTGGCCAACAGCGGCGCCCAGAGTCCGCACTGGGAAACTGCAGCCTCTGCTGCTTCAGTTTTACCAGCTAGGATAGTCACAATAGCGTGCCTAACTGAACGAGCCATTTTTATACGTCTATATACTTAGTAACATTTAATTTGTACTATTAGAAGCGTCCTTATCCCAACTTCCCATGTTTTTAGAGAAATCACGTATATTTAATACATACACATCTCTCTGTTGACATAATCATTTCCCAATCTTCAAATCTGCACTTGTAATAGAAAGATGACTATAACACAAACGTGGCCTAAACTATCTCAGAGTATAGTAATTTTGAATACTTATTAATTAGCAACATATTGGATAAAGTTTATCCCTCTTTCTTTGTTCCTTTTTTTCTTGTTTTTATTTTTTGGATAACTTTATGCTGATTCATTTCTATTTTTTCAGAAAGCACCAGTAATGCTGAAATTATGTCTTTAAAAGGGTACAATTAATACTTCCAAACTTTAGTCTTTCTTCCAAAATAGTTTCAGTGATTTCTTTATGGTAACGTTACCTGATTTTCACTTCCAATAGCTCAGTTAATGAAATGACGTAGCCAGAAAAAAGTAAGCCTATCCCTCTCCTTCTCATTGCACAATTATTTTCGTTACAAAATGTAGCACCAGTCTTCAAAGTTACCAGGGGGATAATATTTTGCTTTGCACTACAGAGTCACTCACTGCCACCCACTGCGCTGAGGCACTGGCTCTTCTGCACTTATGTAATATCCCATAACAACCTCAACTGAAGGAAACAGTCCCTACAAAGCTTACCTGCAACATCTCATTGAGTTTAGTAATGATTTCTCCCCTTTGTTTAAAAATATTTTAAAGCATCTAATAAATTTGGTCAGGAGATTTTCTTTTTTGAAATACCTGACAACCACATTTCTGTCTCACAAAGTGTCAGTAACATTGTCTCCTCCCCCAGTGATTGCACATCTGAACACTGCAGAATATATGAAATATACTCCCGCACTGTTGCACAGCCCTTTATATCCAAAATACCACCAAACACAACACTATGCTAGGAAAAACGCTGTTTTAATTAACTGTCAATGGTCCCAGTAAACAAGATTACCTTGTCATCAACTTCTTCCAGATGCTAATCAATTGAGGTGTTGGGCTTTACTGAAATGTCACACAAAGGGTAGAGAAGTAGTTAATAATAGTTTGGTTATTTCTAACCGAATTTTTCAGCAGATCCAATGAGTTAAGTAGACTACTGGTCTAGGACTTGAGTATATGAAATGATTGTTTCATAAAGCCAGCATCCTCAGTATCCCACTTGAAGAGCCCACAGACACACTTCACATGGCTGTACCACTAAAACAGCAGATAGGAATTTTGTGTCAAAACATTTAATTGCCTATTTCAAAAATGCCACTTATAACACTTGAAATGACATTTTATTAGATGTCATATTTTATTGGTTTTGGACAATGACCTATAGTGTGGCTTTAGACTCCATGACTGTCATTGACATAGATCTTAGTAAGGCTTGAGTCACCCATTTCATTCTTTAGGCATCAGCATGACCTTCCACTAGGATCTGACTTTAATATATTATTATGCTTTAAGTAGGTTGGGAAGCCACTGAGATTTTCAAGGCTACCAAGCTGAGGTACATAGAGGCAGAAGCAGGACACGGAAAAAGTCTTCACACAAACAAAATCTTGAAGCACCTTTTATAAATCTGATCTAAAGAGAATCCTGAGAAGTAGGGTGAGGTATATTTTCTTCTTTTTAGCCTAGTGCAATGAGAAAGACATAACAATTCATTCTCATTTATAAAATACACAAATTAAGAACACCAAGTGGAAAATAGGTGAGAGGTATTAAATGTGATAGTCCACTTATTCACAATCCTGTCCCTAGGCTTTCACTATGGAAGTGATACCAGAACCTATGTCAATAAGTGTTCCATGTTAAAGTATTGCCACTGAAAGAAACATTAAACTTGCTTTACCTCTTTAAAGTTTTTTCACCCTATCTTCAAAACACCTGTTTCACAAAACGATAAAGAAATTTACACAAAATATAAATCCTCAACAATATAAAGATAAATGAAAGACTGAACGCACCTGAATACTTTGGGCTTCATCCGTACATTGCTGAAAATCTATGGATGTTAACAAGGGATCCTTTTTCTCACAGCTCTCCTGGCTGAGGAGCGTGTCCGCGTAGTTGGGCTGGGGGAAGATCAGGTGACTCTTCCGCGAGTCCGCGGTGAGGGAGACCTCATGGGAATAGGTCTGCAGGAAAGCACGCACCCCATCCACACCCACAAAGTGTGAGGCGGGCACTCCCCCCAACCCGCTTCCTGAAGCCTGAAGCAGGCGAGACTTGTGCCAGCGCCGCACTCTGAGCGCCAGCAGGACTATGACAAAGGCGAGGAAGATGCAGGAGACTGCTGCCACTGCCACCACCAGGTACAGTGTGAGATCTGAATCATCAGAGTTGGCAGGGGTCCTGATGCTGCCCAGGTCAGCCAGCACATCAGGGATGCTGTCAGCCACGGCCACGGTGAGAGTGACAGTGGCTGAGAGTGGGGGCTGACCGTGGTCCTGGACCACTACCACCAGGCTCTGCTTGAGTGCATCTCTGTCCAGAAGGGCCCGCGCTGTGCGCACCTCTCCCGTGTGCAACCCCACCGTGAAGAGCCCTGGCTCGCTGGCCTTGAGCAGGCGGTAGGACAGCCAAGCGTTCTGGCCTGAGTCTCTGTCCACTGCCACCACTTTTGTCACCAGGTAGCCAGGCTCTGCAGAGCGGGGTGCCAGCTCGACACCAGTGGAACCGTCTGTGGGAAGTGAGGGGTACAGGATCTCTGGTGGGTTGTCATTCTGGTCAAGAACGAATATGCTCAGTGACATATTGCTGCTGAGTGGTGGGTCCCCACTGTCATGGGCAGTCACTCTCAATCGCAGGTCACGGAACTGCTCATAGTCAAAGGAATGCAACGCATACAGGACGCCAGTGTCAGAATTGATGGAGACGTAGGAGGAAATGGACACATCCTGGAGAGTGTCTTCTGACAGGGAGTAAGTGACATGGGCATTCTCATCGCTATCGGGGTCGTGCGCAGTCACGGAGAAGATGGAGGCACCTCTGGGGTTGTTCTCAGGGATGAAGACAGAGTAGGAAGAGTGGGGGAAGGCAGGTGGGTTGTCATTGGTGTCTGCCACATTCACCAAGATGTGAGTTTCCGTGGACAAGGGTGGGGTCCCTCCATCTGTGGCTTTCAGCGTGATGTTATACACAGAGAGTTTTTCCCGGTCTAGGTTTTCAGCTGTCACCAATCTATAATAATTGTCTATTGATCTTTCTAATTTAAAAGGCAGATTTTCTGAAATAGTGCAGGTCACCTCACCATTCTTTCCGGAATCTCGGTCTTGAAGGTAGAAAAGAGCAATTACAGTTCCAGGAGGAGTGTCTTCAGGGATTGAGCTGCTTACAGATGTGACAGTTACTTCTGGAGCATTGTCATTCACATCTAAAATTGTGATCAGTACTTTAGCCCTTGTCATACTACCAGGACCGTCCTGAGCCTGAACTTCCATTTCATAGTAGCCGGAGTCTTCATAATCTAGACCTTCTAAAGTTGATAATTCTCCTGTATGGGAATTCAGTTGGAATATCTGTAGAATTTTCTGAGTTATTTTCCGAAAAGAATATGTCACTTCCCCATTCACTCCCTCGTCCAGGTCGGTGGCGTTTACAGCTAGCAGTCTTGTGCCCACCGGCACATTTTCAGGGACAGTTACTTGGTACTGAGGCAAAAAGAAGACTGGTGCATGATCATTAACGTCCACCACTGTCACTCGGATGCGGGCGGTGCCTGATCGGGGAGGGCTGCCGCCGTCAGAGGCTGTGAGGAGGAGGTGGTGAACCGCCTCTTCCTCCCGGTCCAGCACCCGGTCCAGCACTAATTCGGGATATTTAGTTCCATCGTCTCCAGTTTGCACAACCAGGGAGAAGTGGCGATTGGGGTTGAGCTGGTAGCTCTGGAGGGAGTTCGTGCCCACATCCGGATCCCTAGCTTCATTTAACGGAAACCGCACGCCAGGAGCTGTATTCTCCACTATTTTTACATTCATTTCTTCTGTCAAGAATCTAGGAGCGTTGTCATTAACATCCATTATTTCCACCTGTATAGGGTAAAGATTCATTTTATCTTCCATCAGAATGTTCAAGTTCACCAAACACCGCGCGCTCTGAGCGCAGAGCTCCTCCCGGTCTATTCTGCCCGTGGTGACCAAGCTGCCGCTTCGGGGGTTCAGAGCAAAGAGCTGCGTCCTACCTCTGGAGACGATGCGGACTCCACGCCCCGCCAGTTCCTGGGGCTGCAGCCCCAGATCCGTGGCGATATTACCCACAAAAGACCCTTTGTCTGTCTCCTCCAGCACGGAGTAGAGAATATGTCCCGTCCAAGCTTCTTTCCAGGTCCCCAGGAGGATGGAGAGCAGGAAGAATCCTCTGTAGTCCCCGTCCCTCTGCCGAGCCGCCATTGTTGTCCTGCCGATCTTGTTTAGACGCTGGGCTATCTCCCGCTGTGCTTCTGGAGGCCAGCGTGTCCACGTCAAGCCCTCTGTATTCGGAAAAGGAGTCCCAAATCCAGCAGAATAGAGGCCTGAGTTTGATGCAGCTTGGGAGAGGGTTTGGCGTTTCTTTGTGCTGTAAAAGCTCGGTGGTTCTGGCGGATCTTTTGCACAATTTCTTCCCTGGTTGGTGAACAGCGGCGCTCAG